CCTTCCAACCCAGACCAGTCTGTGACTCTATGACATGTGCCTTCTGTAGGTAACCAGCTTCTTCTGTAGGTAAATCAGCTTTTAGACAGTAAAACACAGGGTTATGGAGAGACAGCTCATGTCTGGAGTCCTGGGACGTGGATTTTCAGGGCTGCGAGGAGTTTGGAAAACAGAGGAAGATAAACATAGTTCCCAACCAGAAATATTTTGGTAATGTCACATGGTAAATAGCTCATCAAGGGATTGATTATACGTATCTTGGTGTTTGCTTATCATCTGCAGCTTGAAGGCATTCAGCGTGGGTCCCAAGGGACGTGTGTGAGCTCAGAGTCTGTGGAACGACGAAAACATGGAATAGACAAGGGCTAAAAATTGGGATATGGTGTGTGTGAACATCAAGAGAAGAGCAGTGGAGGAGAAAGGGGTTCCTCAGCCTCTCTCTGGAAAAACAAATGTCATGGATAGAATATGGAATAATTCTGTTTGTTTGTTTCTAAGGAGCTTCTCCTCCAACTCAGAGCAGTGAATCCACTTCTGTTGAAAACATGGGAGGAACAGGAAGCAGGTGAGCTCTGTCAGATGTCGTCTCACCCAGTCATTGAAGAGCCGTGGTCAAACCCTGCGAGGAATGACCTACAGCATGCCAGGCGATGAAAACATCAAGGTGGCCTCAGCATCTTTGAGGGCTCCCCAGAAAGGTTCCCCTTGTTCCAGCTGGAGATTCGTGCACCAGCTTCCAAATTAAGTTCCTTCTGAAGTTGCATCCACTGCTCCCAACAAGGGGAAGAGACCGCCAAGCCCTGGGCAGAGTGTTATGACTCTGCCACACCACAGCGGTCTCCTGCTTCCCGTGGTCAGATGTACCCAGAAGCAGCCATCAGCCGTGGACATTATTAACAGGAACAGGCTTTTACCACAAAAACTCAAGTCAGGGCTGGGTGCTGATAAAGCCGTGTCAGCTGGAGAGTCCACGCCACAACAACGGGACAGGAAGGTGACAGCGTCCCTCCCTGTCACCCAAGCTGAAGAGCAGATAAGAGCCATGAAGTCCCCCAGCCAAGGGACCACAGGAACTCTGGCTGGTCTATCCACCTCCAAAGGCAGCAGGAGGCCAAATTCTGCTATGGAAACCTCCT